AAAGCGTGGAAAAGCCTGCTTCTGTTTCGGGTTGCCGACGTCCTGTACCATTATAGAGTGTGCCACTTCGGAGCACGCTTCTCCGCATACTGGTGGCAGCGCACCGGAGCATTCCTCCTGAGACTACTGCACGGCATTTTGGGACTGCACCCGCATCGCGCATGGTTGTTCGTAGATGACCTTTTAGCCGCACTGCATCGCAGTGACGCAGACGCGCAGCTGGCCCTCATGGTCATGTTTTTTGCAGCCATATCGGCCCCGATCTCCTGGAAGAAAGTTCAATTTCAGGACAACCTCACATGGTGTGGGTGGCGCATTAATTTCCTGCACGAGACCATCGAACTCACGCCGGAAAAAACCATCAAATTGAAAGGACAGCTGCACGAGCTGCTCAAAGCAGGAAAGGTCTAGAGCAGGTTCTAGGCCTCCTCATTTGGGCTACCAGCCTGAGCCCCGAACTCAGATCCTGGCTAGCGCCATTGTACACAGACCTGCACTCGCCGCCGGGTTGCATGCTCTCTGTCCATGCGCGTTTGTGGCCATCTTTCCTTTCAGCATTAGACGCCAAAGCCGTGCTCAGGTCAGCAGTGCACGGCATTTTTATGCCGCCAGGCTCTCAAGTCCTAGAGTTCCAAGGGGCATGCATTCGCACGCCAGCCGACCTGCCTCGCGTTGTGCCTAGTCACAAATCCGCTTGGGTGCGCGTAGCGGACGCCTCCGCAGAGCACACTCGCCTGTCCAGGATGAGCAAACACAGCGTTGAATGGTTGCTGCAATGCTTCCATCTAGACCTCGCGTGCCCGCTGCGAAGCAAACCAATGCTGGCTTGCAAGGCAGCCGCGGATGCATGCGCCGAGGGCAGTATAGTGGGCATAGGCGGTTGGTTCATCTCCAGCAACTCCGTTGCGTGGTTCGCAGAGACATGGCAATTCCAAGAAGTCCAGGAACAATGGCCATGCCTGACCAAAGAAGCCCAGCGTTACATCGCATGCTTCTGAAACCTTGGCCCAACTAGCACTCATGCGCATCGCATGGACCTGCGAGGGACAAGGCGTGCATGGCATTTGCATGCCCACAGGGACAGACAACACAGCTTCCGAAGCCGGTGTTAATAAATTGTTCACCACTTCTTGGCCCCTACAAGTCTTTGTGCAACTTGTTGCTGCCTGGGCCCATAAGCACAAATGGTCCGTGATCGCGTCACACATCCCAGGGGAGCACAACATCTGGGCAGACCAGCTTAGCAGAGGTAATACCTCCGCATTCCAGGCTCGACCAGAAGCCAGAGTGCGCTTCAGGCCACATGATTTCTGGCCTCACGCATCAGCTCTCACGCTTCACCCTACGGACGCACCGTGGAGACCCGAGCACGTGGCTGCATCGCAAACGCACTAAAGAGGGGGTAAGGTGATTTGACCGTTTGCTTAGAACTCTAAAGTGGGGGTATTCCGACAGGCTCCGCATGAGATGCAGGAAGATGGAGTGGACGCGCATCGTCACTCCACCTGCATCTCAGAGCCTGCACTTCTAAGCAACGCTCAAGTAAAAAAGCGCGTATCGAGTTTGCTCCGGTCGGTTGCTTTTTTCCCTGCATGTCCCTTTAGGCTTGAAGCAGTGACCAAGATTCTAACGCTAGGGGTTTGTCTTTTCCCCTGTGTTTTAATCTTGGTTGAATCTTCGGCCGCGTGCCATTTCTGCTTCAAGCCTTTTGGTAAGGGACATGCCTGGAGGGTTTGACCCCTCTTTCGTTCTTTTTTGAACCCACCCTCCCACCCTTTCACGGCCCAGGTGGCATCCAGCTTCCACAAGGCCTGATTGAGGGCGCACGAATGGAAGCTTGGTAGCTTCCAACATTTCGTTGGCTTACTGCATCTCGCTGCTCCCGCAGGACCATTTCGAGCATACGCAGCAAGGCCCACGCTGTGCACGCAATCGCACATTATCGAATGCCATCGGCATTCTGTCCGGCCCGGACTGGCCCGCAGGAGGACGCTTCCTCCCATGCACACCCATGCACGCATTGCATATATGTGCAACATACCTCTTTTCGTCTCACACCCCATGGGTAAAACACCCTGTGTGATGGTCGAACACGCAATGTTGACCTAAGGGGGTATTCCGACAGGCTCCGCATGAGATGCAGGAAGATGGAGTGGACGCGCATCGTCACTCCACCTGCATCTCAGAGCCTGCACTTCTAAGCAACGCTCAAGTAAAAAAGCGCGTATCGAGTTTGCTCCGGTCGGTTGCTTTTTTCCCTGCATGTCCCTTTAGGCTTGAAGCAGTGACCAAGATTCTAACAGACTTGCTTTGTTCTTTTGGGTGGTCTGGTTTGGGTTCAAGATAGGAGCAGTGCAACATGCCTTAACTAGATAGTGCAAGAAGTACCGACGTGCTATCCACGCCTCGAAGCCAAAGGAGCGCGAGGGTCTAGGCGGGGACCGGGAACGCTGCCGTTCTCCTTCCAGCACAGACCCGGTGGCTAGCGCAGGTGCTCCAGTGCGAAAAGCCTCGAAAGCTTGGAGCTGCGGCTCGACCCTCCCTACATCTTCCCCGGACCCGGAGGAGTGTGCCGGAGTGCGCCTGCCACGAGAATGTGCCTGGAGAGTTGCGCCGCTCTGGGAAGAGTGCCGGGGGAGTGTGCCCGGAGTGTGCCTGCCTGCTTTGCCCGGCTTGGAACTGTTCTTGCCCGAGCTCGCTGCGCGAATGCACAGCTTCACGAACTAGGCCTAAGTCGACGCTGAGGGGCTCTTCGCCAGACGCACGAAATGTGCGCTAGTTTGATCTCTGCAGCACACGCGTGGTGCTGCTTTAGCGTAGGATGCATGCATTGCATCCGACAGGACCTGCCAAGGTCCATCACAGAGGACGCATTCCTCAGTGCCATCACACAAGTTGCACGCATTGCTTCTTGATGTGCCAGCATGCTTCCTGTTTGTCTCACACCCCAAAGGTAATACACCTTGTGTGAAGGTCGAACACGCATTGTTGACCTTGGGGGCATCTGTGCAGGCTCCGCATGCGGGTGCAGGGATAGGGAGTGGACACGCGTTGCACCCCTGAGCCTGAACTTCCAGAAAAGGGAGCGGAGCGTTTTCGGGTTGGTCGGGCTCCCCCTTTTCATGGCTGTTCCCTCTTGGCTTGAAGCAGTGAACAGGATTCTAACGAGCGCGAGGAGAGGCGTGCCGGCTGTACCACCGCCCGGCTGAAGGCAAAGGGCGAGGCGCCTGCCATCTCCATGGGGCCGGCCTTGTCCAGATCCCGCACTCACCGGCGGCCACGTGCCTGCACTCACACACCGCAACCGGAATCTGGCCGGCACCGCGCGGCTCTTGACGTGGGCCAGCGTCTCAAGCAGCGTCAGGTACGGCTGCGCCTGGGTCGCCTGCGGCGGGGGCGACGCGCCCGGAAAGCGCCCCACGGCGGCCTTGGCCTTGGCCAAGAGGACCAACCTCTCAAGCGAACTCAACGGCTGCCTGCGGAAGGCGGCAATGTCCCGCGTGTGCGTGCGGGCATGCGCCTCAGCCAGTCCCCGAAGCGCCCGGAAGGCGGCAGTGGCCTTGGCGCTGCCTGCAAAAAACCGAATTGGCGTCCAACGGAAGAATGCATGCTCCCGGAGCTGTGGATTTTACTCGTACCTTAAATCCACACTTTCGTGCTCTTTTTCAGCTCGTCGAGCAGAAAGCGCGCGGGGAAAGGCGTGCGCGGGAGGGGCGCGGGGGAGCGCATGGGGGAAGAGGGGCGTGTGGAAGGGGCGCGGGGGAGAGCGCATGCGGGGAGGAGCGCGCAGCCGAGAACTTCGTAGCACCCCGGGCTCAGGCGGAAGTCGGTGCAGAAGGCACGGCTGTGTCACAGAACTTCGTCAGGGACTCGGTGGCGGTCAGGGAGCAAGACTCCGTAGTCTCTCTGGAAGTGAGATTTCTCTTCGTAGCGCCCTGAGGTGGGCTTGATTCCAGGCTGCGACGAATGTGCCAAATCGTGTCCTTTGGTGCCTTTTCTCAGGCAGAACGGGCGTTAGTTGCCGAAATGTGTCCTTTGGTGCCTTTTTTCCAGAAGCCCGAGAGGAGGGCCAAAGTTTTACGCGAGAGGGCGAGCTTTTGGGGGAAAAGTAGCCGATTATGCCTCCTTTTCGGGCCAAAAACGCAAATCAATTGGTTCCTATAAGCCCCCTTTACATACTACTGTCAGGCTGTGAAGGTCGTAGGTGTGGTTCTCCTGGACGCGATGTAGGCGCGAAGAGGAAACGCACAACAACTCATGAGACAAACAACGAAGAGGGGCCAGTTTTTTGCGCCGCAACCGAAGCGTAGATTCGTGCCGCCAGGCAGGGCCTCCAATGTAGGTGTTTTTTGGATTTCATCAAACTGTTGTTGTTCAGCATCAGAATTAGGAGAAAGAGACTGCCATGCTTTTTGACTGGGTCAAGTTTTTTCCCTATTTTTTCTATATTTGTTCCTTATTTTGTTTGTTCAGTCGCATGTTGTATTTTGCAGCGTTTTCTGAAAATGACATTGCAAATCCTTTGTACCCCTGTAAATTTGGTATGTCGGTTGAGGGGTTTGCCCGCGGAAACCATCGCTTGGGGCCATTTTTTTGCTTTTCTCTTGTGTATGTTTGCGTATGCCAGGAATGCTTAGAAACAGCCCAGGGTGTACCAGCAATGATTCAATGTTTTTTTGTTTGCTTCTTGTTGGATTTGGTAACGTTTTCGCATAGAGGGAAGCCGGCCTCGAACAGCATCACCCGAGAGAACCACTCGAATTGATCAGCTTCCTCCCTCAGGAGTGTAAGTGAGTGCGTGTGAGTGTGTTTGTGTGCGAGCGCAAACAGTTGAAACCATTCCGAAGCATTCTGGATGAATGGACGCGGCCCACGTGGTTTGATTTGAACAAGAAAACTTGTTTTGTGATCAGTTGCCGGAAAAAGAAGCTATGCTCTTTGAAAGGCTTGATGTTCACACCTCGGTTGGCATTCGCTTGGTTCAATTTCCGTAGTTGTCAGTCGCACTGAGCCATGGCAAAGGCGATGGAACTTGTTTCTGGGACAGCAAGTTGTGATGTCCGACACGATCAGATTTCTTAAGCCATTAGAAAGTTGTCAGTTGGGCATGAGTCAAGCGTCATATTTTGTTTTCAGGATGTATTATGAACACGATTGGCATTTGTTGCGCAGGTGAAGGTGGCTGCTTTTGCACTGCTGGGCCACCAGGATGCAAGTTTTGGCTGGGACGTGCAACTGCGCATTTGAGGGTTGGAACGAGTTGGTTATTGCTCAGTTGTTGCAGTCATTGGACTCCGACATGTCTTTGTTGATTGTAGAACTTGTTGTCATGCAGGTATCCTTTCCTTGGTGGTTTGGGGATTGAACCCCTGGTTCCTATGGACGGTAAATGAGAAGTTAACCCCCAACCTCCAAACCACCAGCACACACTGCCAAACCGAGGGAAACTTAGTGATGATGACGCAATGGATCATGGTCCGATGAATTCGGTGCGAATGACGGATTTGACATGATGCGAATAGTGGGACACGACGAGCCAACCTGTGCCGCACACTAGCCGAGGATGGTATTTGGGCTGTAGGTTTCAGCCTCAGTTCAGAATTGTGCAAGCTACATGTTTTTCTCAACTCGCACACTGCGGTAGTCAAGACGGCAATGTGGGTTACTATTGAAGCTTCGAATGATTAAGACCTACTGCGGCCTGTGGGGCATCACAGTGCTTTCAATGTAGCATTTGCACGTTTTGTACTGGCTGCAAGCACATGTACCTCACATGCTCATTTGCTGCCTGTATCATGCGACGTGTTCAGCATGGTATGCATCAGGGCGGTCAGATAAAGCTAAGGACATTCACTTTGCCCCGAAGTACAATCACCAGCTTGGGGCTAAGTTGAAGCTTGGGACAGTGCATCGTGTGCGACTTGCTCGCAAGTAAGCCTTGGAGGCTTGCCAGCCGCTGCTGCTCATGGACAGAGATCAAGGTGGGACGATAAACACGTGTGACTCTTGCATAATATAACATCACTGTCTCACTCGAACGGATGGGTTTCTTTTTTTCCCTGAAGTATCGTTGCATACGGATTCGATTTTGCGGTATTGCAGGATTTGCAAGCTTCCTTTATCTCGCCTCATTTTTCACTGGTTCCTTTGCAAAGTCAATTTTTGCCAGGCTCCTTCGTTGCAACCCATGTGTTTCAAGTTTCTTTGTCAACCAATCTTTTTCAAGTTCCTCAACGCATTTGGGCTTGTCTTTTCGGGGACTCCGCGAAAGTGTGCGCGTGTCTTCTTTGAGGGGGCCCCCGAAAATGGCGGTTGTCCTTTTGGTTTCCCTTGAAACTAAAACACATCAAATCAAGACACGCCATGTGTCTTCCTTTCGGTTTTTATTTGAACCGCAATGAAAAATCCAAAAGATCAAATCGAGCCACCCGACCTTGACCTTGGTTCCAGGTCTGCGGTGCGTCTGCGGGCCGAGGAGACCGAGGGCGGCGCCGGGCTCTTGTTTTGGGGGTTTTGCTGTGGGGGTTGGGGAGAGGGAGTCTGAACGACCGTTGGCAGGGGGACTTGTACCGTTTTCCAGGGTTGACAGCGGAGATTTTCATTGGACATACAGGTGGCAATTGCTGTAGGCTTAGCTAGGCTTGGCTTGCTGCTTGAGGGGGGCTGAACCCTTCCGCAAGTCAGAACCCTGCACCCAAAGCTTATGGAATCTGGCTGCTGTTTGTTTAGGGACATCAGGGGCAACTCGTATTTCCCACAGGTGGCCGCGTGGGCGATTCAAGGACTATGTGAGCAAACATCAACCTGCAAAACGGATAGGAGCCCATCCCCAAAGCCGATCTGCGAATCTTGCCATTGATGTGAGCGCTGGATACACTTGCTTCCCCAAGCGACAGGAAAATTGGCTGTGCGCCGACTTCTCCGGGTTCTTTCCACAAGCATCAAACAGAAGCCACTGAGATGCAAGCCGCCTGAAAAGAGAGAGACTGGCCTGATGGACAAATCCCTTTCCGAGTCTCGTAGATTCCTTGGGGTAGATTCTCGGGCCAGAGTATCTTTGCTCAGGTCCGGGTGGGCCTCATCCATATACCAGGCATGATCAAGGACTGCAAGGCATGATATGGCTGTGGGTCAAAACCAATGGGATCCCATTTTGGGGTAGGTGAATTCACCACCCATTTTGGATGTTCACGAACGATTTGGATTGTGACCCATGGCCATACCCATGAAGTCATGTTTCGTTCACCTCGTCTTTGGGCACCGAAAGCGCCTCTTTGCCTAATCAGCGGTAAGTCTCGCGGTCGCGAGAAGCTGCAGGATTTCCGGTCGGCCTTTGAGAAGCGGAGCCGACGGAATTCCGAGAGGATGGTCAATATGGCTGTGGTTGTCAAAACCGTTTTGGGATCCCATTTTGGGGTAGGTGAATTCACCACCCATTTTAGAACCTATTTTAGTGGGGATTGAGATGCTCACTGGAAATACGGGCTTTTGACCCATGGCCATATGTTGCACGGGGTTTGGGGAGCGAATGTTAAAACGTGTAGGATATCAGGCATTGTACATGTGCCAAAACAGCCAATTCGTCTGGCAATTCATTTCTTCCTGTGGTTACTTCAATCGCTCCGCCTCGCCTCGCCAGGCTAAATGTCACCAATGAGACATACTTCCAAACCGAGGCGGTGTCGGAGATTTTTTGGCAACGGAGCCTTGTGGTGTGTTAGGTACCGGAGGCTTTCCAGCTGCCCTTGGCCACAAAGCTGCTGGCCATGCAGGGCGCTGAGCCACAGCCAACACGCGTTCCTAGTTCAATCCTTACCAAAATCGGGTTGACCCCCCAAAAAAGAAGACGCACGATAGTAGATGGAATGCCGTGCAGTCTGATTTGCCTTTGTTGCAGGATGTGTTGATTAGATTCAGTCTGTGAGGAGATATGTGGTGGCCGTTTGCCAGAAATGAGGTCAAACACAGTGGACGTGGTCGTGGTGGTCCAGACCCATAGGATCTCAGAACAGGCAGGTTTTGACGCAGTTTGGTGTCCAGTACGTTGGTTGTGTCGGTGATGCGATCGTTTCTTGTTGTAGTGGTGCTGTTGCCAATTCATTCGGTGAGCTGTGTGTGTGTGTGGGCTAAAGGTTTCGACTAGGGGATGGATGGTTCCTGAAATTTCTAGACCCTCCGCTTTAGCGCCCAGCTGCTTCTTTCCTGGGGAATGTCTCCACGGAACTGAAATCATCCAGGTGTGGAACATGGATCGATGGTTCACACCATGCCCATTTCAAAGCTGCACGTAGGGGTTAATGAGCGGCCAAACTGGTTGGGTCAAGAGTCTGAAGGTGGGGTAGGTATGGTTCAAAATTAAACCAGGGCACCGCAGGTTCTGGTCCATGTTTCCATGTACCAGGATTCCATTTCGGGGTTATCCTATTTTGACCCACAGCCGTGTCACCTCCAGTCCAACCTTTGCGGCCAGGAGCAGGCCGAGATCTTGCGAGGCTTCCAGACGGTGGCTTTGACCACAAATGCCTGGGACTTGATTGCAACTTTGAAGAGAAGGTATCAATTTGATGCGGCGGACACCTCAGGTTTTTTTGGACACTGCCACTCTATGGAGTATTTTTGCCCAAGGGCTTGTTGAATTGGCCATCGGCGAGCAGCGCAAAAAATGCTTGGTTTAGGATGTTGTTCCTTTCTCGAGGAAGTTGAAGTAGCGTTGCGAGTTTGGCCGATGGTTCATACTTTTGACCTCGCAAGTTGAGTTTGCGACGGCAGTTTTTCCCTCCGATGTGAGGTGCCTGTGGTGCCTTGCAGCCCAAGTTCAGGCTCAGTGGCAGAATCGACGTGCTATCAAGATATTTTGGTCGGATGGACAGAATCTATTTTTAGCCTTTTCGCGTTTTCGCTCCCGATTGACTTTTCTCCCTGTCAGATTTGGACAGCGTTGCCGACACGGCCGTGCAGATGGCTGAGATTCGACAGCAGGTGTGGCCGCAATTGGACTCGAGATCGGATCGGTGCGATCCAAGCGTTTTGGCTTGCCCGTTGGTTTCCATTGTCAACCAAAAGAGACCTTCTCCAACAACCCCACAGACATCTCAAATTCGGCACAGGGCCGCCAAAGACGCGCAGGCGCTAATGGGTGGCGGGCCCCGCCGCAGCATCTTCTTCGGCATCGGAGCCAACAAGCGACTGCCTCAGGGTTCGAAAAACGCGGAACAGGGAGCGACGGGCGATGTCGAAGCCATAGGACCGGCGGGGACGCGGGCAAGAAGGGCAAGGCGGGGGGTTGGGGTCAGCGGCATGTCTCTATTTGGACATGGGCGCCTCCCCAAGTTTTTGAAAGTGGAGAGAGACCGCAGAGTTGCTGTTTGAGCCAATAAGGCGCTGTCCTGAACCTCTCGCACCCCGGTTTCTCGCTGAATTGGGTTGGGTTCGGAGATTCCAGCAGAGTGGCCCATGTTTTTGATGCCATCTTTCCGCATTCCAGTATGCTGCATGCCTATCCCTAACATAGCGGGTGTGCAAGTTAGAGCCCCTTTTTGGTATCCCCTGTAAAAGTCGACACCAGGCGGGAGGGTCAAAAGGGCCACACATGTTGACCCCCACGTGTCTCAGTTTTGCTGGCTGAGAGCTCAGTCCAGTGCGGTAGTGAACCGAAGCGACTGTGCAGATCTACTTCTGACCTTCTGACCTCTGAGTCGTAACGGCAGCATGCGAACAATTGTTTAAGTGTCGTAAGCAACGCGAGAGAGCGTGGCAAACCAGACAGATAGCGGCTGGCTTTTCGTGGGGCTTGCCGGATTCCGGATTTTCTGGGCTGTCTGCTTAGATGCATGAAGCAATCTCAGCAAGGTCCATTTCCTTGTCGGCAAAGTTAGAATCAAAAGCGAAGCAAGGCTGTTTGGGACGGTGCGGGAGCAGCAAAAGGGCGTCCCTTCTGGCGAACCGCTGGGGCTGGTGAGTTCCAGATGGACGCGCATATTCAGTTTCCCCTTTGTGGAAGATAGAGACTCGAGGCTGTCGAGCCTCGGTACGAAATTTTCGAAAGCTTTGGCCGTCTGACTGCACACGGCAGTATTCACTCTCTCATCTTGGAGCCTTTAGCGATTGTTTGAATTTTTAACGACAGAAGCAGCAAAGAGAGAAGAATGCCGTTTTCCCTCGACTCAATTCAACGTGTGCTTTCTCACTTCGTGTACGCTCTTTCGACTCAGGCGTTGCAATCCAAAACGCAAGATCTTGGCATCAGGCGTTTTCATTGCCATGAGAGCGGTCCAGGGCATGGTGCTGCATTTTCCGCATTGCTTGTGCACTGGAGTTCCACCGCTTGCTCGTGCTGCTGAGCTACAGGATTGCTAGGCCGCCTCACACACACACACACATGCAAAGCCTTGCGAGACTCGTGAGGCCTTCACAACCATAGTCACAGCCACAAGGAGAACACAAGTTGCTTTCTTTTCTACACACATTGTCACATACTGTCACAGGGTCATTCAGCTACGTCAGAGGTGTCAGGATAGGTTGCGCAGGAGACCTAGTTGCGATGTTTGGCAGGCCCGCTCGGCCGATCGGCTCCGAACGTGTGGAGTTTGGTTCCTGGATGTTTCATACTTCTCTGTTCAGGTGGCCTTCACAACCAGAGACTTGTGAGATTGGCATCAACTCTGGGCAGGTGCTGTTGCCTTCAGCCAGAGGATGGGCATGAGCAGGCCAGTGAATTTGCGCGCTCATTGACTGTCACAGCTTCAGAGACATGTTTTCTGCCTGCCGTTTTGTTTCGCAATGGTTACGGTACAATGGGAGGGGTGTGGGCAGCAAGATGGCACTTTTTGGAGTTTGGCTCCTTGTGCCACCTTTTTGTTAGGCGATACCAAAAAGGAGCCCGGGTTCTGACAAGCCGCCAAGCTGGGTTATGGCAACTCTGGGGGTTTCACCTGAAGTTCTCCTGAAAAGGATACCCAAAAACCATGCATCCCCCACACGGAGACATCTGATTTGTGTGAAGGGTGCGTGCTGTAAGGTAAACCAGCACCAAAATGGTACCCTCAACAACCCCCCCCTCCCCCTCGCAATTGCACAACAGCGATTGAAGCGCCGAATCGTTCGAACCAGGTCTTCCACACTGCCACGCCCATGGAGTTTCCTCCGGCGGCCGGGGCGGAAGAGATTCCAAGTGACTGATATTCGGGTATGCGTCAGAATAGGGGGAGCCCCAAAATCATTGGCTTCCTTTAGATTTCCCTTTCCCACTCCAAAACGGGTACTGTCCCTCAAACGAATCCACACCCATTTTTGTGGCGAGCGTTCATAGCATCGGTTGCACCCGAGCGTCAGGGCGAGCGCAAGTCCTTGCAAGTCCCTCCGGACTTCAGTATCCGCAGCGTGGACTCCAGCGCGACCCCAGGCGCGGACATTTGGCAACAAAGTTCTCGCTGGGTTGGGGTTTGTGTCTGTGGTTGTCAGGTTTCTTCAGGTCGGGAGAAAGTGAAGCAACGGAAGCCCAGCAGTTTGAGGGGGCACCCGCTTCTGACGCCCAAGTCAAAGTTACAAAAGGCAACATGGAAGCGGAAGGGACCTTTTCTTGACTGGGGATCGAGAGGAATCTTTTGGCTTGAGATGCCTCTCAATCTAGGATCATCCTTTCACACTATGCTTTGAGCAGGTGCAGGCTACATCAGTCTCAGCGAGGAGCAGAAGGCAGTCCGTGATGACGATTTTGTCGGCTGCTTGCAAGTTAATGTATGTGTTTTTTTGTGAGTGGGAAACGAAAGCGAACACCACCCATTGCTTTGTCCGTATTTGGACACCCATAGCCTTATCTTGCCTGCAACGTGCTGTCTAGCCCTTCTTTATGAGCAAGTTGTGGACCTTACCATTGACAGATCGAATCAACATTGGCAGACTGTGTGAAGGCCAGAGAGATGACCAAATTGCAGCACATGATTCGCGACTTCGTCATGGAGTTCCTCCAGGCTTCCTTGGAATAGATGTAAGCCTCTCTGATCGACAGACTCCGGCAGTTGGTCAGCGATGTTGCAAAATACCTGCCCGTTCTGGGGCTGAGGTAAGGGCCAACACACATCACCAAGACAGAAGCTTCCTAAGATGAAAAAGCAGTATAGCAGCAGTTTGCTATTCAAGAGCCGGCAATCAGCCTGTCTCTCCGAGGGCGTTTTCCTTGACGCCGTTCTGGAGGATGGAACTTTGGCAGCTTGCTCGGAATGTCAGGTGCATTGACCCAGACGTTTCTGACTTGATGTCCTTTTTGGAGCACCGCCCCCCCCCCCCCCCGCCCTGTTGCTCGGTTTTAGAGGCACACCAGAAAACCAACTGTTGGGGGTTCTCTCGATTCTTTGAGACGAACCCATCTTTGGAATTTTCTGCAATTTGTTTCTTTCTCATCAAGAGCCTGTGCTGTCCCAGGTTCCCTGCAGATGTGTCATGGACAGCAAGCTCTCTGTACTCATGCTGCAGGCGCGTTCGCTCAAACTCACGCAGCTTTGCAGAATTTGTTTCGCAGCGGTTTAGCTTTTTTCTATTGAATACAAACCTCCATAGCGCCGAGATTGGGCACTCTACGTGACCCTCTCAGGTTCACTCCACGACTCGCACGGTGGACTTGACCAGCATCCAGGCGCGCCCAGATGCAACGCCTTCGTTCATATTCTGATGTCAAACAGGCATTCCTTTGGAGAGCGAAATGAGCGGACCTGGCAGCTTTTCCAATGTGCTTTTTAGTGGCAGTGCATGACGTGTCGTGAGGAGATTTGCTCTGGAAATGAGCTCAAGGACCTACAGGTGGGTTTCATAAATGTGTAGCGTGTGCTGTATGGCCTGGAGCAGATTTTGCATGGCGATGTGGCTTGACTTGTGCATGAGCTAAGAGGTGGAACTTGTTTGGCATGTTTCACAATGACGGACCTTTTTTATTCCCAACCAAAAGGAAACTTGTGATGGGGACCAGTTCCCCCGAGAAGCACAACCAGCTTTCAGGTGACAACACCCCTGGACGAGCACTGTGTTACCCTAGTCATGGCGGACGACCGATGTGTGTCTTTCAAGCCGACAGCTGAGCCAGTGTTTAGCAGGTTGCTCAAGACGCGAAGTTGCCAGCCGGGTCTCTATCGCAGAAGTTGCCAGCCGCCAGCCGGTGTTGGTAGTGTTTGGTATCCGGGTCCCTTAAAGGATACATCGCCAGTTCGAGAATCACATTTCGCTGGGGTAGATGATCCGCTGCACCCGCCAAAGGTTTCCCGACAAGCAGGGCCGCGAGCACTTTGCCACTTGCATGAAGGCTTGGCTCGGGTTTGGTCGGCCCAGCTCCTTGGTCGGGTCGGATCGCCTTTCACCTTGAAGGGAAGACGCTTGTTTCCCAGCTTTCGCAACAGTTAAACCTCGGCAATGGCCGACGGCTCGCTTGCCCGTTGCATTGCAGCTTTGTGCTCGTTGGAGGTGCTGAGGCTGGCCTTGGACTGACGTGGGGACCCGCTGCTTCAAGAGCAGAATCGAAAGGACGAAATGAGTGTTTCTCAAAGCAGAGGTCCTCTTTTGGATAGTTATTTTATCGGACACCATAAGTTAACCACCTGAAGGGGTGCCAAATTTTGAGAAACACCCATACCCCTCTCTCTCTCTCTATCTAGAAGGTGTGACCGAACAGTCTGTGATATTGGCAGCGCCTTGTTTTGTTTTGAATTCTGGCTCCACGTGTATTCTACAGAAAAAACAAATCCACTGACATGATGGTTGCCCGGGTGCGTTTCACCTGCCAATGGCGATCGGCTTCTCATCTCAGGTCACGCATGTTCAGGCCACCAGGGCTGGATTTGGCATCGCAAGGAAAAGCTTCGAGCCCATTTGCATTGACTTGTGCGGTTTTCCAGTCGGAAGCCTGTGGCAAATGAGCGTGGCATTGGCGCCCAAAGAGGTGTGGTATCGCAAAGGGACATCGCGTCCAACGCTTTGGGGGCCTGGAATGGGTTTGTCTTTTTCGAGGGCACCCCTTTTGGGTTGCTTCAAGGGGAAGCCAAAGGGGGGCCAAAGGGAAGCCACGCATTTGGGGGACCCTCAAAATACGACAAACAGAGTCCAGAGGGTTGGCCTTAAAGGCCCAAGGCCAAGCTTCGCACAAAAAAAGATCGCCGAGCGCCTGCGACCATTGTCATGAGCGGTTCGTGTTTTGGGCGTTTGATGGGACACCAAAAGCATGTCACCGAGTTTGGAGCTTCCTCTATTCGACACAGACCACTGGACAATGCTACCAGGGCATCAGCTCCTGGGGCAGTCTATTGTTTGGTAGAAAAGGCGAGACTCGCGGAGGTTGTCTGGGCCGCAAAGTTTCAGATCGAGGTCTTTGCAGACGTGCAGATCTATCGGGTACCAGGTTTTTTGTTCCGCTGGTCGAGCGACACACGTGGAGCCCAACAGAGACACCGCTAGATGAGTGTTTTCCAGCTTTGATGTGGCCATGGGTCATAAGCTATGCCTCCATTTTGGGGCGGATGAACACCCATGTACCACCTATTTCGATGTTCACCAAGGGTACAGGGCTTTGACCCACAACCATGTGATGATCACAGCCTTAGCATGCCATGGCCGCGTGTCGCTCCGGTTTGCGCTTTAGGACACCCGGGGCTCGCAGGCAAAGATCCCAACATAGTGTTTGTTTGAGGCGAACCAAGAAGGAAGGCACAGGTTTTGTTGGGCCCCTGTCTTCAAGGAGATTCTCAACATGGTGGAGCTCTTTTTCGTTGGTATTTAAAGTTTAAAGGGAAACCGAGAGGAAGTCAACCCATGTTTTGGGAGCTCTATTTTGAAAAAAAAGCACCCATTTCGCGCCGTGCCAACGATTCAGAGACTCTCAACAGACATAATATATCGAGTTCCATTCTTCTCGGGGACCTAGTTTCGGGAAATGCATCGGGTCGGACTGGATAGAATCGCCAGACACGTCGGTCCATTCCCCAGGAGTCTCTCATGGGGAGTGCAGCGCAGCGGACTCGGGTTTGGTTTCGAGGCCTTCATTTGCGGTGGGAATGACATTGGGTCACCAAATTGATGGAGGCTCACCACAATCCAATGTCTTTGGGGGACGCAAGGTCCTCAGCTTTTCTGTATGTGAGTCAGAATTTGCTCAGGCATGCGGCCATGGCTGCTGCAGCACAGGCCGGACATCGGGTCGGACTGTAGATCGTGATTGCGGGGGGCCGGCTGCAACAAGCAAAACTCAAAACTTCCGAGGATGTCAAAGCCACATTTTCCCTGTTTTTCCTTCTCAACACCCCACAAGCAGACTCACCTACAACCTTCAACCTGATGCTAGGGGAAGCATTGGGATCGGGCCGGCTTCGTGCGAGGATGTTGCGGCACCTTATGGCAGAGCCAGAGCTGCTGGAGATTGCGAAGCACCGCTGCTTCAAGGGCACGCTGTACCGCTTCGAGCACATCAGCCCGGCCGGATCTCTGGAAAGAGTTGGGAATGCATGGGTTATGAATTCAAACAGGGACCCCCCTTCAGACTGGCTGGTGGACATGAATCCCCGCCTGAATCATGTCCACCTAAATCGGTTCCCCGATGAAGATTCACAGCCATTTAACAACTTCAGACATGTTTAACGGCTGCCACACCTGAAGCACATTGCCCACTTTTCTGGGTGTCTTGTAGCTGATTCAGGGTCGAAGGAATTAGTTTTCTCCGATGCAGGTGCTGGGTGACTGCACCATGAAACTCTCCGCCTTTGTGCCGAGCGGCCAGGGCAAATTCCCAGGAGTCGCTCGGCAAGGATCATTTTTTCGTGCCTCCGCTCGGCGAGGGGTCTGGCAACGATTGAGATCTTGGTGTTGCACACTAATTTGGCCATGGGTCATAACCTATGCCTCCGTTTTGGACGTACCGCCTATTTTGATGTTCACCAGGAATACAGGGTTTTGACCCACAGCCATTTTGAGAAAGCACTGCTAGAATTGGGCACACTGGCCAATCTTTTTTGGTCGGTCAGGCCATGTTTTTGTTTTTTTTTTTCTTCTCCTTATTTTTTTCATTATCCTTGGTGAGGTTGATTGTCGAGAGGGGGTGCAGTCATGATGATCAGTTGCGTGCCCAGACAAGCTTTTTTGGCCAGATAGCTACCTGTACCGACGAGGCAACAGTTCTGAAGGCGGAGCTAGGACATTTGTTGTGCTTTGTTGTGGGCTGTTGTGGGTCAGCTGTCTCTGACGGGATTTCGCTGTAGGCTCGCATTCAAGGTAGAAAAAAAAGGCAAGTAGCCAAAGGGGTCGTCTTAGTTGAAGATTCGACTTGTCCATCTTGCTGGCTCCCTTGGGTGCCACTGAATGATCAAGGCCAAGGCGTTGCTTGTTCACTAGACATGTGCCGTGGAGACGCGTTTCGCGTCCAGGTGGGGATGCGGGCACACGCAAGGTGATGAAAAACACAACATTGAAAGTGAAATGAATAGAATAAATTTGTTCAGAGCAGCTTGCTGAGGGATCTTGCTTGGAGAACTTCTTTTCTTCTTTGCTTTGCCCACGTTTCTCTTTGAGTGCAGGTGCTCTTCGGGCGAAGAGTCCGGTGCTGCTGTGCACGCTGACTTCCAAAAACAAGAGGTGGTACCCCCAAAAAGCAACGCACACACACACACACACCCACAGGGCCCCCCTCTATTTGAGTGCCTTTTCCTGTGACGATTTTACCACACGTCGGTAGAACCATGTATCAGCTTCTCCCCAATTGGTGGTTTGGGGCTACCTTTTCCAATTGGTTTCAAAAAGAAGGTGGGGTTAAAACCCCATACCAAACCACCAATAAAAGTGGCAAGCTGAAGGAGCCTCCCGAAGTCCGGTGAGGTGAAATGGGGACGGGTCAAAATTAAACCACCACAACACCGCAGGTTTTTATTTAATTTAGTCCTTGTTTCCACTTACTAGGGTTCCACTAGTACCCATTTTTGACCCACACATCCCTAAGGTGATCTGGCTCAGCGGCCTCACCTGCACCGACGAGAGTTTGGCCCAGCGCTCCGCGGCGCTGCAGTTTGCGGAGGAGCTGAAGCGCCGCGGCCGGGCGGGCGGGCGGTCGGTCGGGCGGTCGGGCGGTCTTTTGCTTTGTTTTTTGGTACGCCAGGTTTGTCGCCGGGTTTGCCAGGAAGCTAGAAGGGGCGCCAGTCTTTTTTGGGCCTTTTGGCTCATTGCCCAAACGAGCCTTGGCTGGGCATATCTAAGTTTGAGGGAGGCTTTCAGAGCTACGAGTTCTGCAAGTTTCACGAGAGTTATAGTAAGGCCTATCTAAAGCTCCTTCGAAACCATTTTGGCAGAACCAAAGTCTTGGCATGGATATGACAACCGTCGGCACCATGTCCAATGGCAAACGGGTATGGGAAAAACTTCACACATGCTTGATGGCAAGTGATGTCCACCAAAGGCACCCCAATGAATATTTATAATGGGGAAAGGGCTAGAAGGCCGTCTCTCTTCGGGTTTGTTTTTACATTTGGCCACCGGCATTATTCGTTTGGATCAATCAATGAAGAGCAGGGTGATAAGCACAAACAGGCCTTGTGGTTGCTAACAACCCCCTGCGTACTTTGTGGCCTCTTGTATCTCTCAGAGACCGTTTCTTTTGTTCAGCCTCTTGGAAGCCCAAAAAAGTCGAAACCTTAAACATACAAGATCTCTTCTTCCAGGTTGCAACACTCTTATTCCCTGCAGGCGCAGTAGGCATGCATACATGCATGTGGCACCCCCCGGCTACCACATATATATATATATGTCTGTATAGTGTATACATATATATATATATATAGTGTAAGCTAAGATATCAACATCTGCCATCTGACAGAGTCTGCATCCATCTCAGAGTATTGGGACACCATTTTATTGTCATTATTATTATTATTGTTATTATTATAAGAATATTAAGCATTCTGGGATTCAAGAATCTGAGAAAATTGTTTTTGGGAATCTTGAATCTTGAATCCCGTTTTTTTTTTCTTCCTAAAAAAAAGGGTTGTCCCAGTACTCTAGGTGCTTAATACATACTTCTGCAACCAAGAGTTCACACCCTTTTGCAGTCTCATTGCATTTCTCAAAGCTCCCGCAATTTCTGGATTCAAAGTGAGAGGACAGGATTCTCGCAAACGATTTCACTCTTGAATATTCAATCTAGTGGTCAAATACTTTCGAGGTTTGTAGAACAACTTTAAAGTTTTTTAAGGCTGGCCCAACTTGAGATGTTGTTTGGGTTTGGCCAGGATTGACGATTCTCAGGAAAGACTTCTGTGTAGTCTTCAATCTCGAATCATCCATCCAGTGTAAAGTACTTTCAAGCGCTTAGCGATCCAGTGGACACGCTTTCAAGTTCTTAATTAGATTAACTTGCAAGTGCTCTTGGTGAGCGGTTTGCCTCATGTAAGCTATGCTCATGTTGACCCTTTTAGTGACGTAATGCTGAAAACTCTGCATTTTACTGCCTTTTCTGAAGAGGACCATGAAGGGCTCTACATGTTTGTATGTAGATCTAAATATATAAACATATGTTGTTCACCCCCCCAACACCTGTCCACCTCTGCTTATCTACTACCTTTGTTCTTTGACGTAGAATGAATTATGATTTCCTGCCCAAATAAGACTATAGATACAACTGATTTAGCTAGAATCCCAGTGTCGAGGTAGTTTAAGACTCTCTATTTTTTGTTGAAATGTCCATTTTGAAACACCCTCCAACTTTGGACCTTTCTTGTGCTACACACATCGCATTATGGATTTCCTTTAGAAATCCCTTAAATGGTTAGCCATGTTTATTATTATTTACCCGAGATTATATTTACATTTTTAATGTAACTAAACTATACTCAAAATCCAATTCTAGTTGAAGTAAAATCCGATTTGGAAAGGGTATCATATTGGGACATTTTGCAGGACTCCAGGCTCCAATTACCAGGCTTTGGGGACCCAAAATTGGAAATTCGAGAATTTGAATCTCCAGATTCTAGATTTTTCATCCAGAAAAGGCACTGAAACAAGGGTCCATGGGGCGGGGGTTGCATATATATATATATATATATATACACACAAATTTATATGTTTCTTTTCGGCTCTTTTAGCCTTTAGCTTTTTGTTTACGCTAAACAAACCCCACACCACCTTGAGAAAAACCTAGAACAAGCTATAAATTTCTTAAACCACCCACACCAACCCTAGCACAATCCAACCCAACCCCCTGAATCCAACTGGACAAACTGAACCCCGACATCCACCAATTGCTCAAAGGCCCAGTTGGGTGATTTTTCCAACTCCCGGACAAACAAGAACACCTGTAGACTTCGACGAGAGTTGAGGTTGATCCTGATCATGCCAGACACTTCGCCGCGCGGGGAGGGAGTGCCAGATGAGGATCCCAAGGTGGGTCAAAGGGTCAAATGGTCCGAACCCGAGCGAGATGTTTCGGGACGGGGAGCGGCCCTGCAGACCTACGACGTGGGTGTTGGAGCGAGCTTCTACGTGAATGCCACCACAGAGAAATACAGGCGCGGCAAAGAAAAGACATGGCCATCGCGTTCCGCAAAGACCTTACGGTGTTCGTGGCAAAGGCTTTGGATGTTTTTTTCCCATCTTTCCCCCTTTTCTCTCAACCAGAAGGTTGCAACAAGTCAAGGTCGAAGGTTTTGGTCAACGCCTTCGGCTTGAAATTTGTAGGTCTCACAAGATGTTTCGCATCGTCACGGGTTGGGGGACACTGTCTCTCTCTCTCTTCCTTAGGAGAGGCAGGACATTCTGACCATGTCTCAGTTCCCAAAGCTGCAACAAGAGCCAACGTGGAAGTTGCACGCACGACAAGCTGGAAAGGCCGCGCAAGGAAGCACCACACTTTCGAGGTGTTTGGATCTCACATTCTGAATTGTCCCGAAGGTCTCACCAGAAAATGTTGCGCACCTGAATCACCGGTTTATGTTTTTCCCAAGCGCGAATTTGCAGCTTGCGTGCTGCCAAAAAAAGGTCTGACTACAAGAGGTTGGATAGGATTTCCCAAGCGTGAGTGGCTTGCGCGCTGCCAAGAAGGTCTCACTACAAGATGTTTCGCACCTGAATCACCGGTTTAGCAGTTCCCAAGCGCGAATTTTGTAGCTTGCTGCCAAGGTCTCACTACAAGATGCTGGACTACATCACCTCCGAGCTGCCGAAGCTGACGGCCTCCAAGCTGCCGCTGCTGCCCCGCCTAGGCATCATGGGCCACTCCATGGGCGGCCACGGGGCCTTGGTGGCTGCGCTGCTCCTCGGAGCCCAGGGCAGAGGGGGGGAAGGGGGGGCGGGGCTGACACATCCCATTTGAGGCTGCTGCAAATTGGAGCTTTTTTTTGGGGTTCCTCAACATCCGGCATAAACTCGCACGCAGCTAGCATCGTAGACTTTGATACATCTTTTTCACCAACAGCTGAACGCTTTGGGGTCTCAGCCCAGGTAGGCTCCGGGGGTCCGGGGCGTCCCTGAGGTAAGGTTCCACGAGGGTTCCACCAGGGTTCTATTATGTTCTGGGAGGCCTGTGGGGTGGTGCGAGCACTACAAAGCTGTTGGGGATATCACCCGAGTTTTTTTTTTTTTTGTGTGTGTGTGTATGTTGTCTGAGGGTACCGATTTTCGGCTGGTTGGAAGGGGAATCTCAAGAAACGAGCACCAATTTTGACGCGTACAGACCCACACATGCAAGTATGTCAGTATACTTTCGCTTCCTTGGAGGAAGCAGCTTGATACTGATGCTTGTGTCCGCAAGGCAGGGTTACCAAGGAGCAAATTGGCGGCTAAGGGGAGTCAGGCTTCTCTATATTTCTTTAAACATTGGCCAATTTGAAGTCAGTTTCTTGGGATTCTTAGGGAATTCTGGGAGACGCACTCTTTCTTTTTTTTCCTTCCGGGAAATCTTGGCACGCAACACGTGTTTTGCGCCGATTTCGCCTTGCCGAGGCGAAATCCTGGAGAGTACCGATCAGTTTCGGCTTTCTCTCCGATTGTGCATCCTTCGGAGTCGCCTTGGGGACAGAAGGCCTTCAGCCTTTACCTGGGCAGCTCAGATGCAGTCAACGACAAGGGGGGGGATTCTTGGAAGATCTGTTCTACAAACAATGCTTGCGGTGAGGATGATGCTGATGATGATGAGGAGGAGGAGGAGGAGGAGGAGGAGTAGGATGAGGATGAAGATGAGGATGTCGATGGCGAGGACGATGACGATGCCGATGACGATGACGACGACGATGGTGATGGTGATGATGACGGTGACGGTGAGGATGATGATGATGACGATGATGATGATGATGATGATGATGATGATGATGATGATGATGATGATGATGACGATGACGATGACGATGACGATGACGATGACGACAGTGACGGTGACGATGGCGATGGCGATGGCGATGACGAGGACGATGACGATGAGGATGATGATGATGATGATGATGATGATGATGATGATGATGATGATGATGATGATGATGATGATGATGATGATGATGATGATGATGATGTTGAGGATGACGATGACGATGACGATGACGATGACGCCGATGACGATGACGACAGTGACGGTGACGATGGCGATGAGGATGATGACGATGACGATGACGATGACGATGACGATGACGATGACGATGATGATGATGATGATGATGATGATGATGATGACGACGATGATGATGATCATGGCGATGACGCCGATGCCGACGATGTGCTCGGAAGCTGTGCATCGGCCATCTTGGTTCGACCCGGCTTGCGTGAATTTCATCGGGCGGGATGTTGGCGCGTTTCTGGAGCCATCTTTCGGAGCGCCTGGTTTGGGTTCTACGGTTTCCTTTGGTTAGGATACGCGGCGTGAGGCGATGACGTGGAGGCCTGGGCTCAGTACGACACCTTGGAGCTCTTGCGGCGCTACAGCGGTCCCCCGCTGCGGTTCCTGGTGGACCAAGGCTGACCAACCCGCCACCAGAAAAAGCGTCTGACCAACCCGCCACGAACATGGAGCCTCACAGCTGACAGGTGGGTCCAAGACCATTTGCCTTCGAAAGAACCAGTTCTTTGGTGGGTTCTATGGTACTAAAGGGTAAGAGGGGCCCGTTTTTTGGGTAGGTTCCAACAAAAAGGGAAGAAGGGTCCTTTTTTCAAAGGGGGGGGAATCCTTTCTTCCAGAGGGAGCGGGACCGCTGATTATTGGAGGGTGTATTAATCAGGGGTCAACAGAAATTTGGAGGATCAGCATTTGACTCTTACAGGCACGCCCTGTGCCAGGTTAGTTGGGAGGGTAGTAAGTTATCGAAGCACCCAAGAAAAATCATCATGTTTGTAGCATCCTATTTGTTGGAACCCATTTGGGGTCACCCAACGGTTGGAGCAGAACCTGGTTGCTTCAAAAGTCCGGGGATTCATTGTGGGTGTCCATTAAGGTGAGACGGAATGAGATGAGTCAGTCAGAAGGAGTTGGCACGATTTTTTAGCTTTGTGTGCTTGAAAGAGGGACTGTTGACAGATGAGGAGTATTTGCTCTGGGGCGATTCGCAATGCATTTTCCATCATTCAGGCATGATACCAAGGCATCAAACAAGTTTCCATTATTTGACCCAATTCTTGATCTCACACTCGCGGAACCTGGCAGGTTTGACCGATCCGTTCCTGGCAGAGCAGCTGAAGCCGGGGCTGCTGAAAGCCCTCTGCGACGAGAGAGGCCATGCGCTGATGCTGCGCATGCAGCAGGAGTTGTGCTTCGGGCCTTGTTGTTGCCTGAGGTCATCGCTTCCTTTCCTCCTTTCCTTCTCTGCTTCCTTCCCTCCGTTTTTCTGTTGCTCTTTTCCTTAGGAAAGCGCAAGCACGGTACAATAGACCACTTGGGATTGGAGATGTTGACACAGGCCCTTCCATGAATCTGTTCAAGCGTGAAAAGGTCAGCCCGAAAGGCAGGTGTTTCAACACGCTCGAGCAAGTCCAGACCCGCGACATGCCTGCCTTTCATTCTTCCCTGATTCAGCTTGAAAGCGACCCAAGTTGCAAGAAGAGGTAAGGTAGGAAACCGGGAATCCACGAAAATCGCTGCGCCTGGCAACATCTGCATCGCTTCGACGCATTTGGGTTCCGAGCGCGCTTGCTGCAGGACTACGACCACTCTTACTACTTTATCTCCAGCCGGGCCCCCAGTTGATCCTCCTCGCATTTCGGGCAAATGGATTCCAAACGCCATGCTGTGATCAAGGGCTTGCCCAGAGCCCGACATTTGCAACAGACCAAAGGCAACTCAGATTTTGGCGCGTTTGTATTCCAAGGCTTCATTGAGGACCACCTCAAGTACCATGCGTCCTTCCTCACGGGTGTTCTACGATGGTGTCCTGATCCTGATCACCCGTTGGCACCTTCTGTTTACTCGGTAGATCCGAGGCAGGATGAGCCTTTTGGCAACAACTTGGGTTGGGTTTGGGGTTTGGAGGCCATACCAGGTGCCGTCACTTGCCAGATTTTTCTCCGGCTGTTTTCCGATGCGGTGTGTTTGGAGCATGTTGCCCGTGTCGCATCACTGGGCAAGGCTTCTTGACCATCAAGAGCACACACGCGTTTCGCACCTTACGCCCCACTGGCAAAACATTTCTTTCAGAGCTGTGTTGGGCACCGAATATGCCGCGCTCCCAACATTAGGCCTGCCTCGGGCTCCTTGGAGCCTTTGTGGCAATACGTCCCCCAACCTCTTTCCGAACCCGCCATGCAATCAATATGCCCATCAAGCAAAGCACTATCTGCCCAGAGCTCAGGCCTGTCGAGGGCGAGGCGCTTGTTTTTGTGTTCGTCGCTTCACGTTTTCGAGCGAACATGTCAAGGAGCCGGTTGCAATGTCTGACGCCTGAGACGAGCCGGTTGCGTTTTCTCTTCCCCGAAGCCGTTGGACGGATTCGTCCAGCGCGCGGGACTTCCCGCAGGCCGAAGCAGAGCGGGAGGATGAGGAAGGAGGTGTGGGCGGCGAAACGGCCTGGGGCGTCTGTACTGAGAGACTCCAAAAAACACGGCTGTGTTCCTGTTGCCTTAAATTATAAATCCAGAGGAGACAATGGCAGCAAGAATCGTTGGGATGGATGTTCCAGTGCATTGACGATTTCGAAGCTGATGTCTCTCGCCAGGCGAGGCAAGTGATGCCAAGGCCAGAATGAGCGAAGAGTTCCGTCAGTCGTTTAGCCGACACATGCACAGGGGCTGGAACTCTTATGCCGCCATCTTTGACAACAGCACTAAGACTTTAATCATGGCGACCATGTTGCAGGAAATCTAGGACATGTCGTGCAGGCTGCACTCGATTTGTTCTGACATTCCTGCCTGCTTTGTGGCATTTGAACAAATGCTGGCTGCGACACGACCAGCACATATACTAAGAACTTACTCATGAAGTGGACAGATCTTGCAAGAGAGGATTGCTGCTGGAGTATCACCATGCCAGAGACATATACTTAGAAGCAATAAAATACGTTGCCAGACTTCGACATTGACGTGTAGTTTGCATGCTCGACCTTTCTCGAAGCATCAACACAGGAAGCCGATTTGTTCGCATTGCTCTGGGGAATTTCTGCTGCCTGAGTTCTTGCACGGATAGCGGTGTCAGATTTCAAAGCTGGTGACGCACGCAGCTGGGAAGAGTCGAACAAAACGTCCGAGATATGTTCCTCTGAGCCAGCACCACCAGGCTTCGCACTGCGACTTTGCCCCTATGCCAAATTCGGCACCCTTCTGCATGAGGAGTTCTTGCAGGAACCCTTATATTCCACTTTGTGTTTTATGATCCTCCGCCCCGAAAGTCGCATGTGTGCCAGAAGATGCGAATCGGAACACAGGCAATGAATTGTTCAAGATAATTTCAAAGTGTCTCAAGATGCATGATTTGTTTCTAGTCTATGTCTAATTATGTCCCAAGCATGACCCTTGGACGTGCAGATGCCAAGAACATGAGATGAATCTCCAGAGATTGGGAGAGTTTTGTCAGGCCGACACCGAGCCCACGGAGCCGGTGCATATTGTGGACAGCAGAGCCAAGGATATTGAGTCTTTGGCACTGCGAGCTTGAGGGGATGCGAGCTGGTCCTTGACCTCCTGTGTTTCAGGGTCAGGGTACCCAGCTGTGTATTCTCAAGCAAAGCACTGTACGGCCGAAGGTGTAAATGCAGGCATCTGCATGACACCCGCCATGCTCGACAGCTAACACCCAAGACTTCCAGTGGCCAGGGGAACGCATGGGCGCTCTTTTCGGAGGTTGATCAAGTAACTAAAGGGACGTGCTTTCTGTTGTGGTGGTGTTGCTGGTGGCGGTGCTTCTGGTGATGGTGCTTCTCGTGCTTCCGCAGCTGCTGCTGCTGCTGCTGCTGCTGCTGCTGCTGCTGCTGCTGCTGCTGCTGCTGCTGCTGCTGCTGCTGCTGCTGCTGCTGCTGCTGCTGCTGCTGCTGCTGCTGCTGCTGCTGCTGCTGCTGCTGCTGCTGCTGCTGCTGCTGCTGCTGCTGCTGCGCTGGTCGTGTTTCAGTTTTCTTGGAATGGCAGGGCTTTGAATTTGCGCCTGTCCAAGGAGTGCCAGGCTGCTGTTGCCATGGCTGATGAGAGTCTCCCGCTGCTTCTGAGGATCAAGGCAGTTGAGTGCAACCTTATGTGTGATGGACATCATGGTCACAGAGTGGGAAATGAGGGGTGCTTTCTGTTTTCTGAAATAACTCTACAACACATATACAATTAAAGCACATGTGTTTTTGCATTTCTTCCACAGATCTCTACCTCTCAACCACATTGTCGCTAACAAAAAGGGTCCGGCGAACTTTGGCGCGCCCCACCCGAAAAACCCCGCGCCGCGCGCGGCCCTTCGCAGGTGGCGCCCCCGGCGGCCGGGGAGCTGCGCCTGCGGCTGGTGGCGGCTTCGGTGTGCGGAGCGGACCTGGCCGTGCAGGCGGTCCGGGGCTGGGGCTGCGAGAAACGGCCGGGCGCGTTGTTGAAAAACCCTTTTTCGGAGGCGAGACCCGAGACACAGGACGAATATGAGGGTTTCAATCCAAATGAGTCCAGCCCTCTTTTCTTGGGATTTCAAAAAAAAGGGAAGAAAAACACAGGGAAAAAAACCACGCCGAACATTTCGCGTCGTGCCTCGAAACCCACGTCCTTTTGAGACTTGGCGTGGTTCCGATTTTTGGGTTGGCTCAGTTCGGGGAACATGACGAAGGGGCGCCCGGAAGGTGGGGCCAAGGTGTCGGCCCGGATCGATGCAGGACGAGCCTCGCATCCTTGGACTCGAAGCAGCTGCCGTGGTGGAGGATGTAGGCCGATGCACGATTTGATGTGTCTCACTCTCAATGGCACTCAAGCAAGTCTTGCCTTCCAGATTGAAATGAAACCCAAAGATCGCCATTTCAGAGGAAGCCCGCTCCTGTCGGGCCACCCCGTTTTGGGTTCCAAACGGAGAGGTCAGCTTGCCCCGAGCAGCGACAGGTGAGGGTGTGGAAGATTTCGCGGTGGGCGACCATGTGATTCCTTGCTACCACGTGAATTGCGGGAAGTGCGAGTCCTGCAGAAGAAGGGACCGGCCGGGGGTGTCGGGTCAGAGAGTAAGGCAGGTCCGAAGGTTGTGGCTTTGGTGTCTCACTGATGCACCGTGAACTTTCGAGGACACCAACTTCTGCGAGTCCATGCATCGTACAGGCCGGGAGTTGGCACTTCGCCCGGGGTTGCCATTGAGTGGGGATGGCGACCGCAACTTTGAGGTCGGGTTATGGCCGACGGCACAACTCGGTTCTCCTACGGCAGCACGGAGGTTTTCCATTTTCACGGCATCAGTGCCTTCTCTGCCGGAGCCCCAAGGTGCGCGAAGCGGTCGCGGTCCAGCGAGCTGGTCCACTGATTTGGCACCATTTTGGGGTAGGTGCACCACCCATGGTCTATTTAGTGGGGATTGGGATGTTCACGGGGGTACGGGATTTTGCCCCATGGCCATTTACGTTGTTTGCAGTGCAGTTTTGGCAACCAGTTGGCAAGGAATACACGGTGGTGCACGCAGACTCTGTGGCAAAGGTCCGCAAGGCTGGGAGAAGGCTGAGTCCTTCTGCCATGTGTTTGTTTCATTTTCACGCGCACATACTGTGGATGGAATCCATGGCGCACCACCTAAGAAATCATGGTTGACGCAGGTATTGGTTATTTACACGGGAACCCTAAGCTTTCTCAGTTGGTGCGAAATGGATTTCGCAAAAATCCACGTCTGGGACCACCGAACAGGGACCCCCCCTCCCTCGTGCAGGATGCGCCGCTGGAGAAGATTTGCCTCTTGGGCGGCGGAGTGGCGGCGGCCATGGGCACTGCGCCTCGGCGCGAGAACTCCACCTTGGGACTTGGCCTGGACAGGGCTCCTTAAAAGATACATTTTGCAACCAATTGAAACATGTTGCTTTTTCCACCAAAAAAGGGACACCACCATTTACAAGGCAATGTTCAGGTGTATAATGTAAGGATCCCTGCTAGAGAAGCCGCGTTTTTTCGTGGAAGGAATCTAATATGGCCGTGGCTCAAAAAACAGGTACCAAAATCAACCCTGGTAAGTGGAAAAGCAACCAACACCCGCGCAACCCCTCCTGTTTAATTTTCAGCCACGCCCACATGAGTCACAATCACAACCCGGGAAGATGAAGGCTAGTAAGGGGCGATCCCAAGCAAAAAAACTGTGCGGCCGCCTTCTTAATCCTTTACATGGCTCTGGGTTCACCATTTTTGTACCGGGTTTTGCTTCTGACTCGTATGGGTGTGGCGCTCAAAATGAAAGAGCTAGGGCAAACCGAAGGTGTTGGTCTTCAGCTCCATTTACCAGGTGTCTTCTTTGGATACCTATGTTTGATCCACAGACATATGGAAGGATAGAGAAGCCAGGCACCAGACACACAAGAGTTCCAGCACCAAAACTGCCAAGAGGCTGTGAACACCCGGAACATCTGGTCGAAAGCAAAGGCATGTTCATCCCTGGTCGCTCTCCTATTTGCCTCTCTCACCAAGAGACGAATGGGAGGCAATGGTCTTCTCTCCTTTGGTAAGGCCCGGATCTCCCAAAAAAAGAACCGACACACCCATGCCGAGTTTGTGTCAAAGTAGGGGACTCACAAATAATGTGGTCTTTCCTTTTGATTCCCTTTGAACTTTAAGCCAGCCTTTGAGGGGGACCCATAATAACAACAGTGCCACATCCACCCATATTAGCGGGTTTCCGTCCTTCATAGGCACCCCCGCCCCAGAAAAGCAACATGTGGAACAACGCTAGAAAAGGGGCTCGCCTCCAAAAATCATCGACACTCAAATGGGATCCGCATCCTGTCTGGGTGAATTATAACGACCTCACACGACCTCACCCCAAATGGTGGTTTATGTGGGGAATATCCCTCCAACCTCCTTATTCCAGGCTCGTGAAATCTGATGATTCACCCAGATCCTGTCATTCATGCCCATCGCCCACGAAGGCACGGACGTGCCATTCGTCAGGTCTGGTCCGCCTCCGTCTCCGGCGCCTCCGCCGTGGTCTTCGGCCTAAACGCCGAGGGCCTCGCAGCGCTCAGGGCGCTGCAAAAGGCCGGCGCGCGGCAGCGCCGCGGCGTAAGGCGACGGAACCGGAAGGGCGGGGAGGCCTTTTCAAGGCGCTGGGACCATAGGTGTCCTTTTTGGTTGATTTGGTTGAAAAGTAGAGGGCGATCCCTGGTTTACCTGGTGGTTCAATCAACTACCAGGGCCATCTATTTTCCCAAAAAGGACACCTATGGCTGGGACCCGTCGGAGGGTGGTTTTCCTTTTGTTTTGCCCTTGAACTGACCTGAAAAGGGTAACTTGAAGAAGCAGAAACGCAGCTTGGGACGCACTCGGATAGGTTGAAGCTATAGTGTCGGATCCAATGGCTTCGTTAAAAAAAAAAACAAAAAACGGTGCCCTCAACCTTGGATCGCTCCAAAAACAGGTACCGTTGAATGGTCGGATCCCGAAAATGATGGGCTTGCTTTGAAGATGGTGTCCTTGTTTTTGCTCACGGCGTCCTTCACGACCCCGTGGAGTTCTTTGTTTTTTGGACGTTCATCCCTGCGTTCATGCATCATGGTTCGGGGGCGGGGGGGTGGGTGGGGGGGTATGATAAGCACACCCGCTCAACGCTCAACTGCTGCAGACCAGCCTGCTCTGTTACCGGATTACAAAATAACATGGTTCTGGGGGGGGTTTGGGGGGGGGCATGATAAGCACACCCGCTCAACTGCTGCAGATGCGTCTTTCACCCCTGAGGCATTCACTGGCATGGGTCATCATTTTGTTCTCGCTCTTTGTGTTGCCTACGTTCTGCTGCTGCGTGTCGCGTGTGCACCCTGCCCATTGTTGACTCGTGGTTCCAGGCATTTTGGACGTGTGATCCGTTCTTGTTGGACGCTCACTTTGAATTGTTCGCTGGTTCGTCTGATCCTTTCGCGCATTTTGCGGCATCTGTTGGTGCGATATCTGCGCGAAGCCCTTTGTCCTGGTGTCGGCAGCCTCAAGAAACGCACGTGTGTTGGCCAGCGGCACGAAGTGCTGCTATTTTTGAGCGAGGCCACAACGTCCGGCTATGTATGACTTGGAAACAGATGAAGGCGGCTCGCTCGCGAGCTTTGAGAAGTTGCCTTGAAAAAAAAGAGGCCGGCAGCCTCAAGAAACGCGCGTGTGTCGGCCAGCAGCGCGAAGTGCTGCTATTCTCAGGCGATTTGGCCCTTTCTTGTCAAAGCCATGGTAAAAATGGAACAAAATCAACATGGTGCGTGTCAACGATGCAACGAAATGTTCATAAAACGCAGGAATTTTGGTAACGTGCTTGGTCGCCATGGTCAAAAGCAGCGTGGTCATTAGCAACGCCGTGACCTTGTTTTGATTACCTGTTTGGCTTTCCTTGTCCAAGCTTTGGTTTGCAGGCTTTCCTTTTCGTTTCCCTGAAAAACCTGAAAAAAGCAGTAGACAGAGCCAACACGCGCCGCAAATTCACGGCCCTCGCTTGTGGTCCGCGCATTTTGGCTTGCAGAACTTGTTTCGTGTTACTTTTGAGTCATCCCCTTTACTTGAATTGTGCACATCTACCCGAACTAGTTTCTGAAGGTTAGTAAGGGACAGTCCCAACTATAATTTGGCGGGGCTTTCCGCGGTTGTGATTCGCTACAGGGGCTTTGGTTTTCTTGCGACTCAGCTTGCTTCCTTTTTTTGCTTGATGCGGATGAGCGCCCATGCGCGCCACTTTGACTTGTACTTTACATATGTGCCGGTCGTTTGGAGAGTGGGCGCTTCGCAGTCGAACAGCACCAGGGGTTACCGGAGGGCACGCATGCATTCTGATCCAAGGATCATTGCGGTGGATCGGGATCCTTCAAGGCTCGACCTTGCCTTAGCTTGGCGCAAGACACGACACCGGCCTTGCCCCGGGCCGTTTTACGCCATTTTATGAACCATGGGCCGCATTCTCCTTGGAGCGTGGTTCCAAGAATTAGTTGACAAGATTGGACCCCCATGCTTCTCTGTAATCGTGGAAAGACGTGTGCAGAGTACTTTGGGGCTCGAGCCTTTGCCATGGTTTCGATTGGATGTAAACCTGGTTTGAGTGGGCAACTCGGAAGCCACCCCCACCTCCAAAGCACCCTCGAGGGATTGTTTCTTGCGGAAGGCTTTGGGCTCCAAGGAACTTGCCAAGAAGTGGGGTGCCACCGACCTCCTCATTCCAGAGGACGGCATCAAGGATGAGATCCTCAGGCTTACGGCGCCTTGGACTGCCAGGAATGGCGTGGGGCCTCTGCCCTGACCAGCGCGCTTGTTCAAAGCCATCACCACCCCCCCAGAGGGCCTCCCCCCCGCTTTTTTTTTGCCCGCACCCCGCTCTCCCGCTTAGGGTCGGACAAAAAGAACAGGAAGGGATCCCGCTTTTCCTTTACCCAGGGAGTTGGCACCCCAGGGAGTCGGCGCAGATGTCGCCTTCGACTGCGGCGGAGCCGACGGAGCCGCCTGCTCCTCCGTGGTCGCCGACTGGGGCCGGTGCCTGGCGGTTGGTGTGGACCTCAGATTTTCGGCGTCCGAAACCGAGGCCCAAACCGGACATTTGGCTGCGGCTCAAAAAGATGTAACAAAACGGCACCTTGGCAAATGGAACCAACGACCAAACCAGCGGTTTGCCCTAGCTCTTTAATTTTGAGCCACCCCCATTTGAGGTGCGGTCAGCTGTCCGGTTTCATAGGGTGATAGTAAGACTATACTGTGGGTCAAAAATAGGTACCAGTTTTGGGATCCCTGGTCTTTGGAACCAAAAGACTAAAACCTGCGGTCCGCTGGTGGTTTACTTTTGACCCATACCCGTATTAGACCTTTAAAGCCATGTGGTAGAAACCCACTACCACACTGCCAGCCGTGAGCATGTCATGCTATGTTTTGCTTCGCCTTCCTGTGCTCCATAGGCTGCTCTGTCCCTGAATCCAATGCTGCTACCTGTAGCGTCGGCACGTCGATTGGGAAGAGAGCACTTGCTTTGAGGGCCGCCGGGCCGCCTGCCTCTCTGCCAGCACGCGCCGTGCATTTGGATTCCGTGGCAGCCCAAAAGAAGCCTTTGCACAGGCCCAGCCAACAGCGCCAAACACGGCAAAAGGATTGCAGATGACCGATCGCATGTGGCCATGGGTCAAAATCCCGTGTCTTCAGTGAACATCCCAATCCCCACTAAAATAGACTAAAATGGGTGGTGCACCTACCCCAAAATGAAAACGGCACTATTGGTTTTGACCCACGGCCATGTGGCAAGCGTTCAGAAGTTGGCCATCTGGGAAGATAGGTTTTCCTGGCGGTGGTGAAGCCCAAGCAGTTCTGAAGCAAGCACCTGTGGGTGAGAGCCATTTGTTTGATCCGTCATACTTAGACAAAGATGTTAATACCCCGCACTTTTGTTTGACACTAGTGGCCTCGCCCACAGGCCACTCGCGAACACCTTGTGACCTGCAACCAACAGTCAACAAATTTTGGGCGTTGCTTAAACGCTCAACGTACCACAGGATGGCTGGAGCTGTTGGTCCGTATTTTGCAAGGCCATGATGTTGCTCCGCCAGGCCACATTTGGCTGTGGGTACCCAAAATGAGTTGCCCTGGTATGAGGAAACAGGGACCAACATTTGCGGTCCAATTCCTGGTGGTTTAATCTCGACCCACAGCCATTTGGCCATGCCATTTTGGGATAGGTGCACCACCCATTTGAGTCGATTTTAGTGGGGATTGGGATGTTCAGTGAAAACACCGGGGTTTTGACCGTCGTGGCCATTTCTGTGACTGGCAAGACCTGCCTCGCGGCCCAGGCAGCGCGGAAGGCGCCAAGCCGAGGTGGCGCTCTGCCCCCTTTGGCGGCTGGAGGCGCGGCGCGCGGTGCAACGCGTCCCGAAGGGTCTGAGAGCATCGTGAGGCGGACATGGGACCAACCCAAGCGCGCGGGGGGGGGGGGGCAGGGGGGGAAAGGGCAACAAACACAAACTTTTCCCCAGGTGTTGGGCAAAGTCCGGATGTTAGGCCCCTGAAAGTTGCATGCCCCGGGGCTTCCCGGTCCCGAGGCCCAAGCTGCAAATCCCGCTGCTGGTGGCGCGGCCCTCAGCTGCTTTCTTTTCGGGGTACCCTTTCAAAGCTTGGGTTAAAGCGAAGTCAAACACAGACATTTTTAGGTTCCCCTATTTTGACGCATACCCAGGCATCATACCCAGATGCAAACCACCTGAGCTGCATGGTGCAACGGGGTTTCCACTCGTAGTACATGTACTTTGTTTCCCCCTTTTGGACCCGGAATTGGACTGAAACTTCTTCATCCTTGCCGAGCAACGCAACGGCGTTACTGCAGGGTCCAACAGATAGACATGGACAACACTGCAGTGATTCATTCGTTTTTGCGAAGAAAGACAGGGTCGCCCACTTCCACTTTTGGACCACACTGCAGTAAGTCCAGCTCACTCCACAAGTCGCCGTACTTGACAACTTTCGAAGGACCTCTACATGGCCGGGGACCTGCCTCTGGATGTGCCTTGGCTAACAACAAGAAGCGACTGGGTGGCTCACCAAATCGCGCTTTTGTCTGAAGCAATGCACGTCGATGCCCCTGGTATGGGCCCAGTTTTCTCAAGCAGGATGATAGGCTTGGGAATCCATGAACCCCTACAAGGCATTTTGCGCAGCGTGGATGGAAGGATTCCCTTCAGTTGGTAGTAAGCTCCCAATTTTGAGGTTGCGGAGCTGTCAAGGCTCTTGTTCAGTCAGTGACTTTGCTCAATCGAAGCTGAAAGCATCGCCGCCGCAAGAGAAAGGCCAATGAAAGAGGGCTCAGCTCAACTGACCTCAGAGGTTCTTTGCCGCTTCTTCGACTTGGCCTGCAGGACTACATCACGAGCGAAGAGCCCTTTGCAGAGATCAACCAAGTTTTAAACAGTTTCGAGGAACCGGGACACATCAGAAAGGTCCTTCGTTTCTAGTCCGCTTAGCTTTCAATACCGAGGACGCAGAAACAGGCTTTATGCGCGTGCCGTTTTGGGAGATTGAGTTGGGGCCGGCAGGGCTGGACGGGTCCTACGAAGGGAACTAAGGCCATGACTGACACGTGGAGTTTTGACCCTGCTTCGCTCCAATGCTTGCTTGCCAGAGCTGCATGCTTTGGATGCTGCTGTGGCTCTTCGAGGTTAGCAGAACCCGTACGCTTTCCATTTCTTCATTCTATAGGCTCCAGTGAGCTTTTGTTCAGACTGAGGCCCATGTTTTCTCTAGATGCTTTGCTGGAGATCCAAGAGAGCTAGGGATAAGGTTCCGAGCGGCCTCAGCCATGGCGGAGATTGAGATGGAGATGGAGCCGATGTTGCTGGGATTCAACTCAGGCACTGGATCATTGGGCCAGTAGCAATGTTTGATTTGCCAGTTAACATTGCAGCATGGCGCATCTTGATGTTCTGAAGCTAGGCTTTCTGGGGGCTCTCGATCTGCACGCGGTGTCTGAGTTGCATTCAGCTAAGAGTCACACGGAGCAAGTCCATGGAAAGTCTTGATTGAAGCTTCTGTATGGCAACAGCCTTGCGCAACGACGTGGGACATGGTAGTTGTGTTCATGCAGATCATGGGCTTTCTTACTGGGTGTGTCTTCGTTTGAAAGTACCCAAGCAAGATCAGCAAAGGCAGCCCAAAGCAAACTAGCTGTTCTTTGAGGATCCTCCATTTGGGTGTGTGTTTGTCGAGGCTCGGTTCCAGTTTGGGGGTTGGTTTAAACGGAAACCAAGAGGAACATCATTCATCCTCCCCCCCCCCCCCATTTTGAGACGCGCCCATTTCAAGATACACCCAACTTGCCAAGGATGCTGGGCGTTCCTGGCGCTGCCTCTCGCGGGCTTGGCCCTCGCGACACGGCCTCTCTGCTGAAAGCTGGCACTGCCCCTCGAAGTTGCATCAGGGGGTTCCCCTGCCTATGTTTCTGCCTATCTAACTTTGACACCCCCCAGAAACAGCGGGTTGTTTCCCCTGCCTACGACCCCTGCCTAGGACCCCTGCCTATGTTCTGACTTTGGGTCCCATTGGGCATTCCAGCTTTAGCTTTGAGCCACCACTGAGCTTTGAGCCACCCCGCGGTGCGCACGCTCAGGTATGGGGTGCCTGGGTTTTTCTTCCCGGAAGCGTTGCTGGAAGAGTACTACACGGCTGGGTACAAGGAAGGCGAGGACCCCAAATCGGTCCATCTCCCTGAGCAAGCGTTTGCCCTCAACGAGGGCATGTCTGATTTCCAGTAACACTGGGACGCATTTTTGGATCTGGGCGCTCTGATTGGCGAGTTGCACAGCACAGTGGGCGCTGAGGCGTGAACTACCGCATCTGCAACTTAGAGGTGAAACAATGCCTCGCTGCTGACGTGTTCCCGGCTGGTTGCTGGCGCTTGAGCCCAATGGGGCGGAGAGGGCTCGTTTTTGGTGACGGCGATAGCAAAGGCGATTCTCTTGCTCGGGAAATGAGGGAGTGGCTGCAAGTTCCCTTGTGGCTTTTTGGGAACCGCCTTTCGGTTCATAAGCCTGGGTCAAACCCCTAGATTCCTTCTCAAACCTTCCCTTTGGTTCCTTCCCCCTTGGTTGCGTTGGTTTTCGGTGGAGGCAAAAGACAGCGCAGCGCTGGAGTTGCGGGAGCTGGCCGAAAGCAGCAACTTTCTCATCGGCGGGGCAAGGAGAAACTCCTTTGGAGGGCGGGGGGGGGGGGGCGGCGGCGGGTTGGTCGGGTTGGTCTGGACGGCCAGTGTTTTTTTCAGTTTTGCCTTTGGCATATCACTAGATGAGTGTATTTTTCTGGTTGTTTCGTTGCATACCGGGATGCACATGGGCACCAGATGAGTGTGAAGGCAGCAAGCAGAGTCTGAAGCACATGGGCCTTTGGATCCTCAGGACCTCGCTGATTCTGGGCCAAGCAGCCAAAGGGCTTTGCGTAGAGGCGGAAGAAAGGCGCGGGGGAGTCGCCAGCTCATTTCCCCTTAGATGGTCTGAGGGTAGTGAGCATTTTGCCACATGTTTCGCTTCAGTAGTGGTCTGAGGGTAGGGAAGATTTTGCCACATGTTTCCCTTCAGTGGTGGTCTGAGGGTAGGGAAGATTTTGCCACATGTTTCGCTTCAGTAGTGGTCTGAGGGTAGGGAAGATTTTGCCACATGTTTCCCTTCAGTGGTGGTCTGAGGGTAGGGAAGATTTTCCCTTCAGTAAGGTTTTCATGTTTCCCTTCAGTGGTGGTCTGAGGGTAGGGAAGATTTTGCCACATGTTTCCTTCAGTAGTGGTCTGAGGGTAGGGAAGATTTTGCCACATGTTTCCCTTCAGTGGTGGTCTGAGGGTAGGGAAGATTTTGCCACATGTTTCGCTTCAGTAGTGGTCTGAGGGTAGGGAAGATTTTGCCACATGTTTCCCTTCAGTGGTGGTCTGAGGGTAGGGAAGATTTTGCCACATGTTTCGCTTCAGTAGTGGTCTGAGGGTAGGGAAGATTTTGCCACATGTTTCCCTTCAGTGGTGGTCTGAGGGTAGAACATTTTGCCACATGTTTCCCTTCAGTGCTGGTCTGAGGGTAGGGAAGATTTTGCCACATGTTTCCCTTCAGTAGTGGTCTGAGGGTAGTGAAGATTTTGCCACATGTTTCCCTTCAGTGCTGGTCTGAGGGTAGGGAAGATTTTGCCACATGTTTCCCTTCAGTGGTGGTCTGAGGGTAGTGAACAATTTGCCACATGTTTCCCTTCAGTGCTGGTCTGAGGGTAGGGAAGATTTTGCCACATGTTTCCCTTCAGTAGTGGTCTGAGGGTAGTGAACATTTTGCCACATGTTTCCCTTCAGTGCTGGTCTGAGGGTAGGGAAGATTTTGCCACATGTTTCGCTTCAGTAGTGGTCTGAGGGTAGGGAAGATTTTGCCACATGTTTCCCTTCAATGGTGGTCTGAGGGTAGTGAACATTTTGCCACATGTTTCCCTTCAGTGCTGGTCTGAGGGTAGGGAAGATTTTGCCACATGTTTCCCTTCAGTAGTGGTCTGAGGGTAGTGAAGATTTTGCCACATGTTTCCCTTCAGTGCTGGTCTGAGGGTAGGGAAGATTTTGCCACATGTTTCCCTTCAGTGGTGGTCTGAGGGTAGTGAACATTTTGCCACATGTTTCCCTTCAGTGCTGGTCTGAGGGTAGGGAGATTTTGCCACATGTTTCCCTTCAGTAGTGGTCTGAGGGTAGTGAACATTTTGCCACATGTTTCCCTTCAGTGCTGGTCTGAGGGTAGGGAAGATTTTGCCACATGTTTCCCTTCAGTAGTGGTCTGAGGGTAGTGAACATTTTGCCACATGTTTCCCTTCAGTACTGGTCTGAGGGTAGGGAAGATTTTGCCACATGTTTCGCTTCAGTAGTGGTCTGAGGGTAGGGAAGATTTTGCCACATGTTTCCCTTCAGTGGTGGTCTGAGGGTAGTGAACATTTTGCCACATGTTTCCCTTCAGTGCTGGTCTGAGGGTAGGGAAGATTTTGCCACATGTTTCCCTTCAGTAGTGGTCTGAGGGTAGTGAACATTTTGCCACATGTTTCCCTTCAGTGCTGGTCTGAGGGTAGGGAAGATTTTGCCACATGTTTCCCTTCAGTAGTGGTCTGAGGGTAGTGAACATTTTGCCACATGTTTCCCTTCAGTGCTGGTCTGAGGGTAGTGAACATTTTGCCACATGTTTCCCTTCAGTGCTGGTCTGAGGGTAGGGAAGATTTTGCCACATGTTTCCCTTCAGTAGTGGTCTGAGGGTAGTGAACATTTTGCCACATGTTTCCCTTCAGTACTGGTCTGAGGTAGGGAAGATTTTGCCACATGTTTCCCTTCAGGAGGGTAGAACATTTTGCCACATGTTTCCTTCAGTACGGTCTGAGGTAAGAAGATTTTGCCACACATGTTTCCAGCTCAGTAGTGGTCTGAGGGTAGACATTTTGCCACATGTTTCCCTTCAGTACTGGTCTGAGATGGGAAGGTTTGCCACACACATGTTTCCCTTCAGTAGTGGTCAGTGAACATTTTGCCACATGTTTCCCTTCAGTAGTGGTCTGAGGGTGGTGACATTTTGCCACATGTTTCCCTTCAGTAATGGTCTGAGGGTAGTGAACATTTTGCCACATGTTTCCTTCAGTAGTGGTCTGAGGGTAGGAAGATTTTGCCACACACATGTTTCCCTTCAGTAGTGGTCAGTGAACATTTTGCCACATGTTTCGCTTCAGTAGTGGTCTGAGGGTAGGGAACATTTTGCCACATGTTTCCCTTCAGTAGTGGTCTGAGGGTAGTGAACATTTTGCCACATGTTTCCCTTCAGTACTGGTCTGAGGGTAGGGAAGATTTTGCCACACACATGTTTCCCTTCAGTAGTGGTCAGTGAACATTTTGCCACATGTTTCGCTTCAGTAGTGGTCTGAGGGTAGGGAAGATTTTGCACATGTTTCCCTTCAGTGGTGGTCTGAGGGTAGTGAACATTTTGCCACATGTTTCCCTTCAGTGCTGGTCTGAGGGTAGGGAAGATTTTGCCATGTTTCCACTTTGATAGTGGTCTGAGGGTAGTGAACATTTTGCCACATGTTTCCCTTCAGTACTGGTCTGAGGGTACAAGCGCATCACACGCGCAGCTGAGTTTGCCATTGATGATGGTCACACTGCAGTGCCTGGTGCCTTTAAACTGATAGTGGTCTGAGGGTAGGAAGATTTTGCCACATGTTTCCTTCAGTGGTGGTCTGAGGGTAGTGAACATTTGCCACATGTTTCCCTTCAGTGCTGGTCTGAGGGTAGGGAAGATTTTGCCACATGTTTCCTTCAGTAGTGGTCTGAGGGTAGTGAACATTTTGCCACATGTTTCCCTTCAGTACTGGTCTGAGGGTAGGAAGATTTGCTACACACATCTTCCCTTCAGTAGTGGTCTGAGGGTAGTGAACATTTTGCCACATGTTTCGCTTCAGTTGTGGTCTGAGGGTAGGGAAGATTTTGCCACATGTTTCCCTTCAGTAGTGGTCTGAGGGTAGTGAACATTTTGCCGCATGTTTCCCTTCAGTGCTGGTCTGAGGGTAGTGAACATTTTGCCACATGTTTCCTTCAGTAGTGGTCTGAGGAGTAGTGAACATTTTTGCACATGTTTCCCTTCAGTGCTGGTCTGAGGGTAGGGAAGATTTTGCCACATGTTTCCCTTCAGTAGTGGTCTGAGGGTAGTGACCATTTTGCCACATGTTTCCCTTCAGTGCTGGTCTGAGGGTAGGGAAGATTTTGCCACATGGTTCCCTTCAGTAGTGGTCTGAGGGTAGGGAAGATTTTGCCACATGTTTCCCTTCAGTGCTGGTCTGAGGGTAGTGAACATTTTGCCACATGTTTCCCTTCAGTGGTGGTCTGAGGGTAGTGAACATTTTGCCACATGTTTCCCTTCAGTGCTGGTCTGAGGGTAGGGAAGATTTTGCCACATGTTTCCCTTCAGTAGTGGTCTGAGGGTAGTGAACATTTTGCCACATGTTTCCCTTCAGTACTGGTCTGAGGGTAGGGAAGATTTTGCCACACACATGTTTCCTCAGTTGGTCCATTTGCCACATGTTTCGCTTCAGTAGTGGTCTGAGGGTAGGGAAGATTTTGCCACATGTTTCCCTTCAGTAGTGGTCTGAGGTAGTGAACATTTTGCCACATGTTTCCCTTCAGTGCTGGTCTGAGGGTAGGGAGGATTTTGCCACATGTTTCCCTTCAGTAGTGGTCTGAGGGGTAGTGACATTTTGCCACATGTTTCCCTTCAGTGCTGGTCTGAGGGTAGGGAAGATTTTGCCACATGTTTCCCTTCAGTAGTGGTCTGAGGGTAGTGACCATTTTGCCACATGTTTCCCTTCAGTGCTGGTCTGAGGGTAGGGAAGATTTTGCCACATGGTTCCCTTCAGTAGTGGTCTGAGGGTAGGGAAGATTTTGCCACATGTTTCCCTTCAGTGCTGGTCTGAGGGTAGTGAACATTTTGCCACATGTTTCCCTTCAGTAGTGGTCTGAGGGTAGTGAACATTTTGCCACATGTTTCCCTTCAGTGCTGGTCTGAGGGTAGGGAAGATTTTGCCACATGTTTCCCTTCAGTAGTGGTCTGAGGGTAGTAAGGATTTTGCCACATGTTTCCCTTCAGTGCTGGTCTGAGGGTAGGGAAGATTTTGCCACATGTTTCCCTTTAGTAGTGGTCTGAGGGTAGTGAACATTTTGCCACATGTTTCCCTTCAGTACTGGTCTGAGGGTAGGGAAGATTTTGCCACATGTTTCCCTTCAGCAGTGGTCTGAGGGTAGTGAACATTTTGCCACACACATGTTTCCCTTCAGAAGTGGTCTGAGGGTAGGGAAGATTTTGCCACATGTTTCCCTTCAGTAGTGGTCAGAGGGTAGTGAACATTTTGCCACATGTTCCCCTTCAGTACTGGTCTGAGGGTAGGGAAGATTTTGCCACATGTTTCCCTTCAGTACTGGTCTGAGGGTAGGGAAGATTTTGCCACATGTTTCCCTTCCGTAGCGGTTTGAGGGTAGTGAACATGTTGCCACATGTTTCCCTTCAGTATTGGTCTGAGGGTAGTGGACATTTTGCCACATGTTTCCCTTCAGTAGCGGTTTAAGGGTAGTGGTCATTTTGCCACATGTTTCCCTTCAGTCGCGGTTTAAGGGTAGTGAACATTTTGCCACATGTTTCCCTTCAGTGCTGGTCTGAGGGTAGGGAAGATTTTGCCACATGTTTCCCTTCAGTAGTGGTCTGAGGGTAGTGAACATTTTGCCACATGTTTCCCTTCAGTGCTGGTCTGAGGGTAGGGAAGATTTTGCCACATGTTCCCCTTCAGTAGCGGTTTAAGGGTAGTGGTCATTTTGCCACATGTTTCCCTTCAGTGCTGGTCTGAGAATAGTGAGCATTTTGCCACATGTTTCCCTTCAGTACTGGTCTGAGGGCAGTGCACATTTTGTCACATGTTTCCCTTCAGCAGTGGTCTGAGGGTAGTAAGCATTTTGCCACATGTTTCCCTTCAGTACTGGTCTGAGGGTAGTGAAGATTTTGCCACATGTTTCCCTTCAGAAGTGGTCTGAGGGTAGGGAAGATTTTGCCACATGTTTCCCTTCAGTAGTGGTCAGAGGGTAGTGAACATTTTGCCACATGTTCCCCTTCAGTACTGGTCTGAGGGTAGGGAAGATTTTGCCACATGTTTCCCTTCAGTACTGGTCTGAGGGTAGGGAAGATTTTGCCACATGTTTCGCTTCAGTAGTGGTCTGAGGGTAGTGAAGATTTTGCCACATGTTTCCCTTCAGTAGTGGTCTGAGGGTAGTGAACATTTTGCCACATGTTTCCCTTCAGTACTGGTCTGAGGGTAGTGAACATTTTGCCATATGTTTCCCTTCAGTAGCGGTTTAAGGGTAGTGAACATTTTGCCACATGTTTCCCTTCAGTGCTGGTCTGAGGGTAGTGAACATTTTGCCACATGTTTCCCTTCAGTAGTGGTCTGAGGGTAGTGAACATTTTGCAACATGTTTCCCTTCAATACTGGTCTGAGGGTAGTGAACATTTTGCCACATGTGTCCCTTCAGTACTGGTCTGAGGGCAGTGCACATTTTGTCACATGTTTCCCTTCAGCAGTGGTCTGAGGGTAGTGACAATTTTGCCACATGTTTCCCTTCAGTACTGGTCTGAGGGTAGTGAGCATTTTGCCACATGTTTCCCTTCAGTAGTGGTCTGAGGGTAGTGAGCATTTTGCTGCATGTTTCCCTTCAGTGATTTTGCCACATGTTTCCCTTCAGTAGCGGATTGAGGGTAGTGGACAGTTTGCTACATGTTTCCCTTTAGTACTGGTCTGAGGGTAGTGAACATGTTGCCACATGTTTCCCTTCAGTAGTGCTCTGATGGTCGTGAACATGTGCCTCTTTTTCCTTCCTGGTTTGAGGAGTGAAACCTTGGAGTTTTTGGGTCAGCTACATGGAGCATTGCGCAGGGCCTTTGGTCCTGTGGGTTTTCACCACCCATACCAGGCTGTCATACCAGGAAAGCTGTGTTTAGGCAGCCCAACGAAACCGGCGACTCTCAAATGTGTGTGTGTGTGGGTTGTGTGTATGTGTGTGTGCGCGCGTGCGTGTGAATAGCTAAGTGGTGTTGTTTCAGTTTCCCTTTGCACAACTTGAAAAGACACCCCAAAGAAACACGTACACAAAGATAGCCTGGGCCCAGGTTGGGGTGCACAAAACAGAAATCCTTGGCCCGCCAGCTCTTTGCAGCTGGGGCGCTGCAAGAAGCAGACGTTTGAGGTGCCGATGGTGCGACTCTGCTGGTTGACAATCGTGGTGTGCGCGTTTTTTTTGTCGGGTACCCTTTGTCAGCTAGGGAGATCCAAAGGAAAACAGCCATTCTCAAAATGGGACGCCCCATTTTGACCCGACGTACCCACTGGACAACCTGCCACGAAAAACGTGATATTTCCAACTATAGGGGAAAAAGTATCCCATGGTTCTTTGGGGGACATACGCTCAAGCCATGCAAGACGCAAACAGCTTAGCTGCAAGGACCTCCCTCCGACTTGACTAGCGCCATCAATTTGCTTGGGCTGGCTGCTTTGCCTGGCATCAAGACTTGAAGTGAGCCATGAACCGTTCATGTGAAGCACGTGCAAGTTCAAATCTCAGATGCCTGTTCCGGATGGCAAGTTTGAGAAGCATTTGGACCAGTGTTTCCCCAAATAGCTGAATGCCCTGTATGACTTCTAACTTCAAGTCGAGCAGGATGGGTGTGACGCAACATTTTGGCAGTTGAAGAGCTTTGTGAGTCGTGTGGGGTGCTGTTGTCACGCGGGGTGCTCTTTGAGTGCTTTGCAGGTTTTGTCACGTGGGGAGGGTTCTGTTGCAGGCTTTCATCACCAAACACAATTCGTGCTATTTGCGGTCTATGCTGGCGTGACTTTTGAAGAGACTCGAATGTCTTCCGATGTACATTACCACTAGCTGAGTGGCATCAATGTTTTTACACATCTCCTTGAGCGTGTGCAGCACATCATCTGACGTTGTAGACATAGCCATGCTGGTTAATCAGGGTTCCGGTGTATCACTCCCCCTTACTCCATCCACCAGGCAGGCCATGGCGCAGTAGGGATCAAGTCCTGCCACGTGCTGTGGTCTTTCAGTCTTAGGCGAACCATGGGGCAGATCAAGCGCCTGGGCAGCACGTGGTTTCGTGGTGTTTGATTGGCGAGAAGGCAACATGCAAGAGCAGAGGTCGCATTGGGATGTTTGCGTGTTTCATCAATGTTTATGACTAGTAAATGGCCTGTCCCAGTAGTCTTACCGTGGATGGACGAAATCCATTTCAACAAACAATGGTTTTACCCATGGTTTCTTAGGTGCTGCGAAATGGTTTCCGTCCACAGTAGGTAGGTTTCTGAACGTTTTTGCCGAGGTCTGAGGGACAGCCAGAGCTCTGCTTGCAGGCCACCAAAGGTCACCCCGTGTCTCGGCCGGGGATTTCTGTGTGCTTCGATGTCCTAAATATTGCAAGGGAACATGTCTCCAGTGCCATCCATGTTGGCTTGTGGTTGCCAGCGCCAACACAAAAAAATGGGAGTTCTGTAGCTGGACCCCCCGCTTGGCATAGGGTCAACGAGCCCATCTTTGCACCGATTCCGTTGAGAACGCCTCTGTGCCCCAGCCCAGCCGCCTTGCCAGGTCCAGATGGGGCCGTGCGGTGCTATGGGCACCTCCTGGATAGTGGCGCGAGATTTCCGATGCGCAGGGGTGGGTGCCATATTTTTTCCCCTCCCACCCAGGTGGGTGTGATTTGATCTTGTAGGAGGTTTAGGGGACAACAGGAAAACCCACCCATTGGGGTGCCCCTGCAAGCGCATGCCCTAGCAGATGACCGTGAACAAATTGTGGAAGAACGCATCCTGGACCCGCAGGGCGAGATGGCCCCGAGCTACTTGGAGGGGGCACGCTACAAGATTTGCAACACCCAGCTGGAGAAATGCATTGGGGACTGTCCAAGTGGAGAGAAGGCGAGCTTCGGCGATTGCAACGAGCGGTCAACCCCCCAAACAGGGCCCCCATTTTAGAAGGTTCTGCTAGCTGGTTTAATTGGGGCCTTAGTAAGGCCCATAATATGCTAGTGGGATCAATAGTCAATGGGTTTGGTGCTGGCTTCATGCACTTTTCGCAGCCCTAGATGTTCAACTTCATGGACTTCATGGGGCGGAGGGCCCTCGTTCCCGGTGGTTTCCCAAGCCACCATGAGGGTTATGTTGGAGTCGCTTTCATCAGAATTCCCAGTAATTCCCGCTTCGCTAGTTTAAACATCCCCTTGGGGCCCAAACCAACTTTGTCAGTCATCTTCCTTGCGGGTTGTGTGTGTTTTTTCTACGCCCAGCTTGATTGCTGTTGGGTTGGATCTTTAAACTTCATTTTTTAAAGGGTTTTCTGTTGAACCGTTGAACCCAAGCTTTTTGCGGAGGGGTCAACAGCAACAAAGCCAGGGGAGACGTAGGACACCTTAACGGGGCAACCAGATCTCATGTGAGCCGCTTGCTCAAAACTCGCGTAAGTGAAGGTTAGGTATGCGACATTCCCAGCCATAAATAGCTGCGGTTTTCCGCCTTCTTAGTTCTTGAAGCCTGGTTCTGGGTACCTGGAGTCTCCATGACCCTTTACAAATGGGTCCATGACCCCATTATTTTGGGTACTGACCCCATTTTTGAAGGGTCATGGGGACTCCAGGTAGACCATTTTACTCATGACCAGCCCATTTTTGTACCGGGTTTTGAGCAAGTGGCTCATTTGGTCTCGCAGGCCTGCGCCAGCGCGGGCAGCGGCGCCTTCTTGGTGGACGAAGCGGCGGCCCCGCACTTTGTCATCAAGACGGTCAGGACTCCTGGCGGCTGGGCGCGTCCCTGTTTTGAGGCTACCCTTGGGGTGAGTTAAAAGGGACGTGCAAAAGGGCCCTTTCCAAGAGGAAAGTAGTCTTTCTGCAGGGGTGGTGGGAGGGTAAAAGGAATAACGCCTTTTTTGCTTCTTTTTCCGGGGGTCCTCTAAAAAGACCCCCTTATTGGTTTTCGGGCCCCTGTTTCCGGCTATGTCTTTAAATTTCGCCATGCAGCAATCGAATGAGGTTCGGACTGCGGTCAAGGAGTCAGACATTGCCACCGAATCATGTGGTGCATCAGGCCTGCTTTGTTGGTGTATCATAGGTTCGGTGGGAATTTCCAGACAAACGTTCAGCCGCATTGCGCTTCATTCTTCCGTGCGTGTTCGGGAAGCTAGATTGGCCATCCACAGTAGAGGCAATGAGACAGTGAGCCAGCTGCTCTCACGCCTCTCCTGCAAACATGTGCTAGACTGATAGCCATGTTTGTTGGATCATGTGCCAAGTGAAAGCACTGATGGTTAAGGCATCCTGAAAGGTCCTGAGGGACACGGATGCCCTAAATATTGCAAGAAGGGAACACAGTTGGAAATCCTGTAAATTCAACCACGAAGCGAGCCACATTTGAGACCCCGCTTACAAGAGACGCAGAGGGATGGTCTGCCATGTGTTTTCGACACGCCAGGTCTTCCTTCCAAAGAAATGGTCGGCCTCATAGAATTCTGTGACTTGGACCACTCGCAACGTCGCTCAGACATCCACGGCGAAACGACCCTCTTGCTTGGAAGACTTGCCCTCAGGACCAATTTGGACGTGACCACCCTGGCATTGGAAGCTGACCGCGACCTGTGCTTGCAGGCGAAACGCAAAGAGCATCACAAATTTCCTTTGGCAATTGAAATAAAGGATCGCCTTCAAGTTGGGATGTGAACACCCCAACAATCCGCCAAGCAAATCATTTCTTGGTGGCTCCCAGCCATCCCCTTAGTCTTTTCGCTTTTTAGGGTTTAGTGGGGATTTCCATGTAACCCACTAACAGTGAGTCACTTTTAGCAGGGGATTTGAGGGCAGTCCAGATTTGAGAAGAAGGAGACGCGAGAACTCGCACCTTGCGCTTGGACCGCGGCCTTAGGTGCAGGGCTTCGGCACCTGCGACGGCGCTTGTGCACTTCAGGGGAGCCTGGGCAGCAGTGCGCGGTGCGGCTGCGGGTCCGGTGTGATGTGGCCTCAGAAAACGTGCCCAGCGGTTTTTGCGGCGGCTGAGGAGCTCACCCCTGAAGTTTGAGAAGTGCCAGGAGACGCGGCAGAACTTTCACCTGCCCTTCCCACCTGAGTCCTATGGCCGCCTCAGGCCCAACTTGACCTTTCTGCTCGTCTTTAGTTTGCATGTTGCCAAACGCTGCAAGCTGCATGGCGCCTGCGCGAATTTCCCCGTGGCAAGGTGGGCTCTCTACGAGGACCGGTGCATCGAGGCCTTGCAAAGCAAGGCGTGCGCCGACGCGAAGCCTCAGAACAGATACCTGGTCAGATTGGGGTGATTTCAGTGTTTTGGGAGGGATCCCTTTTAGTTTGGTCTAAACAGCATTTTCGGTGTCCTTGCTTGACACAAAAAGGGGAGCGAGTCGATCGGTGTCAATTGTCCTCTCGGGGGAATTGGCCCAACCAGCCCCGTTAAGGGAAACCCAAAGAGGTCGTGCCATGTGGGTATGTGTCAAAAAAGGGGCCTAGTGGTTTTCAAGTAAAAGCCAAGCTGAACAGAATACCATCCAAAGCACACACACACACCCACACCCACACCCACACGAACACGCACACGCACACGCACACGCACACGCGCACGCACAGGCACACGCACACGCACACGCACACGCACACGCACACGCACACGCCCACGCACACGCACACGCACACGTACACGCACACGCACACGCACACGCACACACGCCACACGCACACAGGCGCACAGGCACACAGGCACACAGGCACAAAGGCACACAGGCACACAGGCACACAGGCACACAGGCACACAGGCACACAGGCGCACAGGCACACACGCACACACGCACACGCACACACGCCGGCACGCACACACGCGCACACACACACACACACACG